CTTTTTTACAAATATGTTTATATATTTCTTGTAATGCTTACATAGAGTTCAAACATTTTAGCTCACTTCGAGCCATATATGTATTTATTTCATTGAAATAAATCTTTATTTAAATACGGCGAAATAAAATTTTATTCCTAGCAAATAAGTAATCTATTTTATTTTTTTACAATTAATGAGATATATTTTATAGAAATGTATATACATATTTTGTCATCATAATCAAATTTCGAAACAAACTCCGTCTAAATTCTTCAATTAAATCGTGATTACAAATCTAACATAACGAGTACTTAAAAAAAATTTGTAGAATCTATTTATTAAATCTCTCGTATCATGTCTCAAGATCATTTTCAGTTGAGTTCTTCAATAGATACGCGATTATAAGGGCGATTATAAGTCTGAAAGGATTCGATTCATCCAAGAAAAAAGTATCTATATACACGTATTGAACGCGCGGGAAAAACTTCTTCATCAGTAAGAGAGAGAGAAAGAGAAGAAAAGATTGAAGTGGAGAAACAGGAGAAATGAACGTACTCGGCGTTCTTGTAATTAATGCGGCACGATTAAGCACGAAACGAGTAGGTTCCGGCGGCGATGTGGTTACGTTTTGTTTTAAAAGCGGAGAGTCGAAGATGTTTAGCGCCCTGCTGGGGGCAATCCTGTTCGCTGTGGGGGGTCCTGGCACCCGCGACCCCCCTTCCTCACTCAACCCTAACGATGCCAGGAGTCTCTAATCTCCCGTGTGTCTAGGCGATTCCGAAGCGGGCGGCGGTACACGCGGAACGCGTACATTTGGCTTGGAAGCCTCCACCTCGAACAACAAAAATCGAAATATAAATATGGGGATTGTAATCGATTATTGCGCAATCGTAAATCTCGCGTTTTAACCGCTCGTATAGATCGCCCCTTGGCAGAATGATTGATTTAAATGATATTGTTGGGAACACACTACGTCTAGTTCGAATCATTAAAATCGAGATATTAATTGCACACACACACGCACATAATATAATTAGATATAATGCAATTATAATGAAATTGTTTTCTAAAATAAAAATAAGTCTTAATATTTTGGAAGAAAGAAGATAACTATATTTTATTTTGATCAGGGTTTTTCAACTAATATACCGCAAAGAGTCTCTCCAAGTGTATAGCAAAAATTTTTTAAAACGTAAAAATAAATGGAAAAATTTAGAAATAAGTAAAAAAAAACAAGTGAAACACAAAGTCAAAAATATTTTAAAAAATTATGAAAATTATCTAAATTGTGCTTACTTTCATTTTAATTAAAGCGGTATCTTCTCATTGCAATAAAATTATACTTTTAAAATGATGAAATAAGAAATAGGAATTTTAGAACTTTATTTTTTATTTCTAAATGTCGCATTAGCAATATCTGATAAAAAATCTATGCTGAGGGTTACATCTTGAGTAAGACTCATTATTTAATGTGCTGCGAAATGAAAAAAATTGAAAAACGCTGTATTACACTAATATGCCGCAGTTAACTTTTAGATATTAATACATATGAACATGAAAGACAAAATTACTGAACGAAAACAAGGTTCTAAAATCTAACAAATCTAACAAATATATATCTAACAAAACCAATATCTTAGATAATACTATTTTTATTTTATTTATTTATTGCGCCTACTATTTCTCTTTCGAGCGAAAATCGATCATGTAAGCGATCTCAGATCCGAATATCAGATAGAATAGAATCACAGATAGAGCAAACCGATCGAAATCATCTTTTTGACAGCGAGCTACCAGGATAGGATCCACAGATCTCACGGAACGCGTTCGCAATCGCCGCCGCCGCGTCATCAGTGAGCCAATGATCGGGCCGAATCGCAAAGTCATCCAGGCATATGTCTATCCTCGTCTGCACGATGACGAAGCCGCACCATGACGAACCGTATTGGGAGTGTCTACATCACTCGGCGGTACTTTTGATTCCTAAATCCGTGATGCTGGAGCAGATCCGAGAGCCGGAGTCGCGGCAATGTGGAACGCGCAGTCGTACTATTCGACATGAGAGTATTACACATCGACGGAAAACAAGACGAATTTCTCTTCGTATGTGGGAAAAAACAAGTAAGCCGTGTAAGGTCTCCTCTGTTACGTGACCTTAGCCGACGAAGAGAATGAAAAGGAGAAACGTCATTTTCTAATATCTGCGGCCACATTCCTTCAACGCGACGTGCCATTCGATTCTTTGATATGAAAGAATAAATTAGAAAATCGAAAAAGATGATGAATATAAAAGTAAAATATAAATATTAAACAAAGTATCTTTTAAGACCGTAATGTAAATACACAACAAATAGAAAATAAAGGCCCTAAACTGTCAAGCTGGATCTTTAATGCTTGAATAATTCCGAATGAGAGAATTTATATACTTATATCGAATCTTGCAAACTACGCGCAGAATTTAATTTTCAGTCTTGAAACGCAATTCTAACAGAATTAGAGTAGTAATATCACAATTTAAATTGGCATAATATTTTTCACAATAAAATTATTTAGTTTTAATATGCTTATTTGTCAATTTAATTTGTGATATTACTAGTCTAGTTCTGTTAGAATTACGTTTCAAAACTGAAAATTGAGATATAGAAATTCATGTAGAAAAATGATCAGTTTAATAAAAAAAAAGGTCTAATGTAATAACAATATTAATTATTTCATCTTATATCCTAATTTGTGTGTATGTCTTTACGAATAATTAATGTTACAAAGAAATTTATTCGATTTATTTCGAAATCAAAAGGCGAATAGTTACATCAAAAGATATGTATCGAATAGTTTTATAAGAATGAAATCATGCAATGAATTGAAATTCAATCCAGAGTTGAAATGGCAGTCGGAGAGCGAGGAAACTTTGCAGAAGATGGAGAACTGTTCGCGCGATTACCTGACGAGAATTTTCGCTGGAAGTATCTTGAGAGTCGCGCTTCTGAAGCGGTAACATGAAATCTCCCTCACCGGAAACGATAAAAGACCCGGATAGTTTTCAGGATAAATGGCCGCTTCTCGAAAAGTTCTATTCGAACACTCGACGTAACGAGCCACGCTCGGAATTCGCGGTCGTTATTTACCGCGGAAACAATGGATATACAAAAATCCGGAATCGCAGCAGGTGCTCGCGCGCGGAGAGATTGGATAAGTTGAATTGTTGTTGTCCTAAGCCATTCGTCATTGCGATCAGTCACGAGACACGTCTACGCTTTCTTTTTCTTTCTCTTATGCGACCTGATATTAAAACGAAATCGGCGATACGTTATTTGCGTTCGGTCGGGACGCGCACGGCATAAAATCGACCCAACAACCAGAGATAGGACGGTAGAGGCATGAAAAAGTGACGGAAAAAGGGAAAAGAGAAAAGAGACACGGATTGACGAAGGATGAGAAGGAACGAACTTCCGCTGAACTGATTAGAGCTCCGGGTCTTTTCGAAGAAGCCTTGCGTTGGAATGGAATGGAATGTGCTGAAACCTGGTGAACGCACATCACGAACGGCGATTCGCATTGGTTGTCCAATTTCTTATTTACAAGTATTAGAATTCAATCTCCTTGGATTTAACGTTGACATCAAATTTCGACTTGTTCGCAGAGCATTTAAGTCACAAAATAGAGCAAAGCATTTTAATTAATAGTAAAAATAAGTAATGATAATATTTTACATTTGTCACAACTAAAACCAGCAAAATGTGTGAAAAAATATTTAAGATTTTAATTAATTAAAAATTTAAATATTTAAAAACTTTTTAAATTCTCTGAAAAAAGGAAAAACTAAAATTTCATATCAAATAATCATGCACGATAATTAGTATATTCTTATACTTATTTCCGCATTTATATTATTTTTAATAATATATTTACAAGAATTTTCTAGCTTCATGATTACCGTACAAATAGTACAGCAATTATTCAACTGCAACATTCAATACTTAATTGCTGTACTATTTGTACAGTGAAGCTAGAAAATTCTTATATTATCACAGTAATATTAATAATATAGTTTTCATATGTTTGTATTACATCCTCGCCTAATAATAATACTTACTCCTAATAATACTTTATTTATAAATTATGTACATTGCGAATTTGACACGCAGTGATACCGATTCCGAGTATCTCGAGTTGCCAGAAACGAAAAGTGGGCCAAGGAATCGCTAACCTAACGGTTTTACGACAGCCGATATTTTGTTAATTTTCGAGGAGAAACGTAAAATTCAGGTAGAGAAACAGACGAAAGAAGAGAGAGAGAGAGAGAGAGAGAGAGAGAGAGAGAGAGAGAGAGAGAGAGAGGTAGAAGAAACGCGAACGGGCAGAGATCTCTGCCTCGCAGCAGTATTCGATTTCCTTGGAGCATCGACAGTAATGATACGCTGTTCTCTACTTTCCTGAAAAAGAAGAGAATACGTCACTGTAACCGGAATTCGAACTCTCACGGATCAACAACTTCTAAGGAAGAAAGTACCTATAGAATACCTTTCTGACCCGGAATCGAATGAACGACTTTCTTGAAACTTTTAAATGGGATCTAAATCTTTACTTCTGTCATCTGTTCGTTGCAATAATTACAAAAGCAACCAAGATTATAACGTTTAAAACTCATAATAAGAAGCCATTTTATAAATATATTATCAAATATAAATAATATTAAATATATAACATAAATGTTAAATTATTCTTAGAAAAAGCAAAAATGGAAACTAACGTAGTATTAAATTTCTTTTGTTATCCAAAAAAATTCGGTAAGAAAATTGCAGAATTTTTCGACTGGTCCGCGTCCATAAACACTCAGCTGATCACTTTATAGTACTACTGTTATTATTTGAAATATCGACTGCGTTGAGGTTGCGTAATGCGAAGGATTCCGAAGGACGCAAAAAGAATCCTTCCGGGCTCTACTGTTATCGCGGTTTAAGAGCCTTCCACGAACGACACAGCGCCTAATCAGACCGCTCGTTCATCATGTGTTTCAGGTCTGGTTCCAGAACCGGCGGGCCAAGTGGCGTAAACAGGAGAAGGTCGGGCCCCAGGCACATCCCTACACACCGTACCCACCACCGTCGGCGGTCGTGGCGCCGACCTTGCCGAACCCCTTCGCCCACCTGGTCAACTTCCCCCACAGGAAGCCTTTCGACGCCTTTCGCTATCCGCCGTTGGGTCATGGCCCGGTCCTCCCCGGTAGTTACGCTGCTCATCCCTATCATCGGGCCCCGCCACCGCTGCTGTCTCCCGGCATGCCCCTGCCGTACGCATCCCCCTTTCAGAATTTGCTAGCGAACATATCGGCGGCGCGGCCGAAGTTGGTGCGTGGTTCGCCACCCCCGCCCCCGCCACCTGCCTCCGCGATAGCTCTGTCGCATTCCCCAGTGGCACCCCCACCCCCACCACCACCAACAGCCACCTCGCCGCAGAGCTCACCTACAGGTAGCGTGGGATTACCGGACATTGACAGGAGGACCAACAGCATCGCCTCGTTGAGACTTAAAGCCCGCGAGTACGAGATGCATCTGGAGATGTTACGTAAGAACGGCGATCTCATAAGTTGAAACGCTGCTGATCGAATGTGGCAGACAACGAGCGCGAGTCTGTCCTGAATCGATTCGATAGTCATGGATCGATAAATTGGATAGACATTCTTCCGCACGGAGAATGTCAGCAGGTTGAGTCAAGTGAATGAACTCATGAAATTCTTAAACATTTAAATCAGTGTTTGCCCAACGTGACGTATCTCAACCAAATATCAAAATACTTAATCGAATGCTGCAACAAATAGCGATTGTGATGTTTAACTACTTATGGCGATTTTAGATTGTGTAACGTCGCATTGGTCAGACTATGATTCGAGTATTGTTGATCGATCCATTGATAATCGTGACGAACTTAGGAAAATGTGTGATCGAGTTTCGTGGTAAACTGTATGTAGCAAGTGCTAGTACGTTTGTTGAGCAGGTCAGATTCTGTATCTGAAAAGATGGAATGTGAAAGGCATGTGATAAGTTCCATTTTCCATCAAATAATCTATCATCAAATTCGTAATGATTTCAATATGTTTACTTTCTGTATGTTTTGCACGGCAAAAAATATCTCAAGAAAATTGATAGTGTATATGATTGAACAAAATTCTCAAGAGAATACAATTCAATTAGAATAATTTGAAATTTATAAAAGGTGGAAAAAAACGCTTTAGACTGTCCTCTTTTTAAAATTGACATTCAGAAGTTATTAATAAAAAAATTTATTGCGATGCAATTTTTTCAATCTTCTTGTTTATCACTTATTGTTATCCATGACATCATTCTACGATATGAAACAAAAAGGAACGCGGAATGGTGTGAACGAAAGCAAGGAAGAGTGAAATTACCGTTACTCATGTACACCGCACTGTATATATAGTTTACAGTATTCCGTATGCGAGGGAATTAATAGAATTGCGCAAATCGAGGGACTTGCTCGCGCAAGTATATCGCGTGATACATCGTTTGAATCTGTTTCGCAAGCATCGAGAGGTATTCTTAATTAATTCACATAGTCGGTAATCACATCAGCTTCTATTAAGACTAATATCATACATGTTGTACGATGAACAGGCGCATTAGCATTTTGATGCGGAAAGAAATTTTTCTTTTATGAACTATTCGATCGATTTATTGTAGAACATGTGAGATATTAGTCTGACGTAACGCTATTAAATATGCGTGAAATAGATATTAATCCTAGCAGAATCAGTTCGAAATAGTCGGCGGAGATTGCGTTAAAATTATTCTTTTTGTCAAATGATGTAATAAATGTTAAATCAACAATAAACAAATATATGAATACAATTTGTATGTGGTATCTAATGATTATTAATAGGTTCAATTTATAGAGTTATATAAAATTTCTCGGTTTAATATTAAATTTGAAGTATATATAGACAAAAAATAAAAGTTTTGAAACTTATTTCCCAAAAAAATTCTCATTTTAAAAAGAATTGATTTATAAATAACTACTTAATAAATTTTTAAAGTAAATATCTCTAAAACTTTTAGAATGAATTGTCACTCTAAAGAATGAAATCTCACTCTTAAAGATTGAAAATTGAGTCATTTTTTTCAAGACTGGCTTAATTTTCACTATTTAAAGTGAGATTCCACTCCAAAGAATTTTGAAAGTACATATATACATAATACATTTTTCCATATATAATTATCTAAACATTTTGCGATTGATTTTTTTTATCTTGAATCTGCTAGGATTAATTAAAAGTCGCGTAAAGCGTTTCTCTTTTTACTAGAGAACGATGATAGGAACTATTCCAAAGTGAACCTTATCTAAAGATCGAAAAGTGTCCGTCCATTTGGAGGTTATTCGGCATCGCGACGGAAAGTCGGAACTTTAGACTATTAATTAAAATTTGAAAGAGAAAAAAAGCGATCTTGTGAAACATATAAGGAATATCTTTGTCCCGCTAGATATCCGCTCCTTCCCGTCGCAATCGCAATAAAACCTCACATAGCGTTCATGAATGATCGCGTGAAACCCAAGACCGTATAGTTTTATTTACTTTTACAAGACACGTTATGTATATGTTTAGACAAAAGAAAAGTAAGAAAGAAGAGAGAGATACTATTTATATATATATATATTATATAAATCTATATACTTTATTTACAATCGAGATATTCTACGCTATTGCTATAGATTTTACGATTGTATAAGCATATTTAGCGCGTAAGCCATCTGTAAATAATTATAACGATCTGCGTGTCATTTTTAACAATACCTTGCAATCACCCGTCCTGTTTGCATAATATACGACACGCATACGTAACCGTACCGGCTACTTTTTGCTGGCATTTTCACTTCAAATTTCCTCGTTGAGGATTCATCTGATTGTGAGATCCTTGGAACGTTATCGATCTCGTAATTCGAGCAACAAACGTAACAGTTGTCAGACCTGACAACTGGAAAAAAGATGCTATAAGAAAATGAGTTCAGCCACGTCTTTCCATCTTTTACGATAATAGAATTATAATCAGGGTCGAAATCGAGATCGAAAATCTGTATTCCCTATTTCTCAAATTGAACCAGCCACGTGTATTGTACTTAATCTTAATATTACCTCCTTATCCTTTCTTTACAATGAATAAATGATTACAATAAAAGAAAACGCATTTTTTTTTTATTAAATGAACCTTTTATTACCAAAAATCGAAATTTAATAAGCTTAAGTTTTTACCTATTTAGCGACAGTTTCTTTATGATTTTTATTTAATTTAGTGACAACCTCTTTATGATTGCATTTGAATCATTAGCAAATATAAAAGAAAATTTAAATTAAATATTAGGCTGCGGTCCACTTGACGCTACAAACGCTTCGAAGCATTCTTTGATTAATCAATTCGTAAAATTTTTTATTCTGATTGGTCGCTCAAACGCTTCGAAGCGTTTGTAGCGTCAAGTGGACCGCAGCCATAATATTCTTCTGAAACAATTGTTTTATTGCTACAATCAATATTAAAATTATTTATGTGCACCTCTATAGTTTCAAATATCCAAAAAATACACGGGTTTAATTTCGAGTGCAGCCATCATGCCGCAAGGAGATGCGCGTCGGATAGCGATATTAATTTACGGGCTCGTCAGCTTCCCGAAAAATACCCCATTAACTCGCACATACATTAAATGCTCCTTCTCTCTCGAAAGGCTGCACTCGGGGAGTTCCCCGGGATTGACTTACGACGAGTAATTCGCGGCCAGACACGCCCGACCGACGAGTTATTTAAATATTTTACAGTTTAATGGAGTCCTGAGCCATTAACGGGCGTCAGCTAATTAGTAACGTATCCCGACGTGTAACAACGGGCGAAAGTGCTTTCAGGAAGGTCCGCTAACGATCGGTCGATAAATCGAACATTCTGCAGCCGACAAATCGGCTCGTCGATCGGGCCTGACGTGCAGCAACAATTTAAAACGTTTTTAGGTCTTCTAAGATAAAAGTACACGGATTAATTCTTTTCGACAGCCGATACGAAAGACTTGCTGAAACTTAAGGATGTTAGATAGGCATATATGGCACATATAGTATTATTTATACTTTAAACAAACTACATATGAAAGTTGTGTTTATATATTCTGTTTTTATTAAACAACACATTTTTATAGTTTATTTGTTTTATTTGTTATCACATTTTATTATTATAAACTAAAATTTAAAAAATAACAAAAATCTAAATGTTTATAAGTTCTTTAAGTATTCAAAATAATTTATGCAAAGTTTCATTGCAATTCACCGATTGGTGAGTCAATTAATTACAAAGATTTAGAATAAACAAATATTTTGTTTGTTTACTAGACAACTAATTTCTGCATCGTAATATAACTTTACATTAATTTTGAATGCATAAAATACTTATACTAAAAGATTGAGATTTTTGTCATTTATTTTATAATATATTTCCATACATTTCTATTAAAGCATAGATTTAAAAAATATTACTTCTTATTGAAATAATTTATGATCCAGGAAAAAAAACGGTCACTAAAAAAAATTCTTGTATTACTATACGTTGTATTAAATACGACTTACAATAATTTGTAATTTTTTCATAACTTTTATTATTTTGAAATATCTTTGAACATCCTTAACTTCCGCAGATTTTACTTTCTTCTGAGATTTTAATTTATAGTTTAATACTAAAACTACTGACGGTACACTGAAAAAAAAGATTGGCTGCTGCAGCAAATTAGATGGTAAAATATGGCACAGCATTTTTAATTGGTTGCATCAGTCAATTTTTGGTTGTGTTAGCCTATTGAAATCCTATACTGACATTGCGGAAATCTATTTTTATTATTTAAATATATATTGCATATATTTTTAAAAGAGGGATAAAAGAAGAAACTTAATGGATTATAATTTAATCACTCATGTATTATAACAAAATCACGAAAAAAGAAAAAAGTAAATGAATTAATTTAATCATTTATATATTATGACAAAAATCACGAAAAATTTCAGAAAATACGTCGTTATGAATTTGATTAAAAATTATGAACTTCTCTAATTTATTTGAATTGTTTTAATAGTTCTATTAAAGATACGTAAAATCTTTTTTCCTGAAAGAAAACGATTTCGAATACGTCGAAGAAATTATTGTATTTAAACGAGATTTTGATTTTTTCTGCTAAACACGTGTGCTCGATTCAGATAAAACTATGTGGTAAACTGGAACGTGGACAAACACCGACCATTATCAACGTTGAACTCGATTGCAACTAAACGCGCGGTGGACGGATTTTAATGATATGCCATGAAACGATAACATACAATCAATTTCACGTTTCAATTTCCTAGAACCGTTAAAGCACTGAACGAATACCGGCACTTGGTGCTCTCACACGGAATTGTATTGATCGCGATCATAAATTTGCCGGAAAATCACGATATTACACTGATGGCTGATTGAGGAATAGTATTAGAAATCAGACGTTAATGCTTGGAATTATGCTTTTATCGTGATACATCGAGGCTAGTTTGCGAGCGTCGTATGTACTCGTATGCGAAACATTATTACATACTTTACGATAATCTTAAATGAGTATCGAACTACACGTTTAAATTACATATTTTGACTGCAGCTACATCGTGTATCATAATTGTGACGGACGCAAATTCTAAAGTACGTAATGGAATAAAAGACTTGTTGGATTATTATGTGTCTTACAAAATGCTTTCTTCTCCTTTCTATTAAATATAAAAGTACACTGAAAAAAAACAGTCTGGTAATAGCTACCAAATGTTGAACGAAATAATTCCAATCAAATGTTCGATTAATGTAAACAACAATAATTTTATTTTTCTAAATATTTATAGTAAGTATTATCAAACGGTTGATTATATTATTATATTTGGTAATACTTGCTAAATATTTAGAAAAGTAAAATTATTTTTAGTTATATGTATATTAATCGCATTTGATTGGAACTAATTCACTCAATATTTCGTAGCTATTACCAGACTCTTTTTTACAGTGTGTATATAAATTATTATTCTACTTCTCACGGACTTTATTGTTTATTTAATAAAGTT